TACTTGGAAATTTTGCTCCACCTGGTCAAGAGATCTGCAGGGGAGAGTTACGAAAAGAAGTTTTTTATTATTATTATAATTATTATTATTATTATTATTATTATAATTATTATTATTATTATTGTAGTCATTGTTACGCTTGCTTCAACAGTGAATAGCTATATGTTCAAGTTTTCCATAATTATAGCAAGTTGGTGATTGAGTATTATTTCATGATTAGTTAAATACTCTTCTATTAGATATATTATTTTGTCGATTGTTATTATTGTTGATTGATAAAGTTTCCAATTGACTAGTAAGAGCAGCTAGTTGTTGTGAAACTTGATTAAAATCATTTGATTATTGTATCATAATTAGAATATTTAAGAGGCTAGTAGTCAGATTGACTGTTGATCCAGTAAATTATTGATAACTAAATTCATATAGCTGAGCAGTATGAATTGCAGCGTCCAAAGTAGCTGGTCTAACAGGATTAACAAAGAATTTGATTTCTGATTTCAGTTCATTAATAAATAACATTATTTTTAGATGTTCTGGATAAGCATTGTCTGAATAAATTTGTCAAAGTAATTCTTAAACAACAGTGGAATATTGTTCAATACTTTTAGTAGGTAATTATTTTCATTGATTTAATTGTTGTTGCCATTTATAGATTTTATCAACAGTTCTAAATTGTTGTGTAAATTGGAAAGTAAATGAAGCAACTTGATCATTTACATCATTTGTAGCATTTGGATTCCATTGCATTGGCCAATTTGGTGTGGTTGATCTTTTATTGGTGAGCCATGTTCCAGCAGCACCTTTTAAATATGCACCAATAATTTGTTGTTTTCTCATATCAGTCATGTTGTTAGCTTGACATGCAGTTTCAAAATCTTGTAACCATCTGATGGGATCTTGTGTATCTTCATAGAAATCAACAATTTTTGCAAAAGATGCTTCTCATGCTGGAGCAGGAGCAATAGCTTGAGCTTGAATGGTATTTGTAAGATTAATCAGTCCAGTTATCATTTGGTTGAATTGTGGATCATCCATGATTAATTCTGATTGTTCTTCTTCACTATTTTTTTCTATAATTTGGATTATTTGATCTTCTGGATCTTCTTCAATAATTTGTATTGGTGAATCATTTTGAATTACGATTTGATTGTTTGAATTTTGAAGTTCAATTATTTGTTCTCAAAGTTTTTGTTGTCAACAATACTGTTTTCATTATATTGTGAATATTTGGATATCTTGTTACAAATGGTATAAGTAATTTGAATTTCTTATTCTTTTTGTGATGAATAATATAATAATAGTTCTTCAAGTTATTGAATTAATTTACTGGTTGAATTTTCTAGACGTATTATAACAAATACTTTTGCTAGTTGATTTTTAATTTCTCTCAATTATTATTTGTTTAGATTTTTCAGTAAATTTGTTTTGTCTTTTAATTCTTCAAATAATTGATCAATTTCTATATCAGTTGATTGTGTTAAATCCAGTTTGATTATTTGAGTGGTTCATCCACAAAGAATTTGTTTATTAATTGTTTTATTATTTTTGATATCTTTGAAACTTTTCTTTTCAATATTAATATCTTTGAAATTTTCCTTTCCAATATTGATGCCTTTGAAATTTTCTTTTTCAATATTGATGTCTTTGAAACTTTCTTTTCCACAGAGGAAGCACCAAAAATTTGTTACCATTTTAATATGATTTTAGATTCTTGTCACAAGAGTACACGTGATAGAGTCAGATAGGAGAGTTAACATATTAAATAACTTTAAGTTGAAAGAATTTACTAAGTTATCTAAAGGTAGATAATGTATATTTATTTTGTTGATCAACTAGAATGAGACCAGAAAAATTAAAAGATAATTGTATATCTTTTATAATTCAATTTATAATAAGTTAAATATTTCTTTTAAATTTAGTTTATAAACAAGTAAAATGTAATTTTTTTTTATTAATTCAATATTATTATTGACTTCGCAATATAGATGAAAGATCAAATACAAGAATGTATAAGATAATATAACTTCGCAGTAGTGACAAAAGATTATAAAACAAATACAAGAATAACTTTGCAATTAAGATGAAAGATTATGAAAAGACTATCTAAAGGATTATTAAAAGAATAAAAACTAAAAACTAAATTGAATTAATTTCTAACTTGTTATTTTTCTAAGCTAAGATACAAACTGTATTTATAAGTATTTGATAATTATAAAATGATTATTTGGAATGATCATTTGCAATGATCGTTCAGAATACTTGATCAGTTGGAATGATTATTTGAAATGATTATTTGAAGTGATCATGTGAAGTAATCATGTGAAGTGATCATGTGAGATGATTGTTTGTAATTATAAAAATATCTAATCATAACTAGAGATGGTGCAGCAAGTACGTGACGCTTATTTGTCACCCGTTGCAACACGTTGCAACTCCAAAATTTTATAAGTCGCAACTAGTTACAACTAGGTGATGCTTTATTTGTCATCACGTTGCAACAGTTGCCACGCCATCTTTAATCATAACACTATTCACCACTGATATTATTGTCTTTATACTCTTTATTACATATAGAACATGTTTTTGTACAATTGAAATGATCAATATATTTACTACTACATTTAAAAGATAAATTAGTAAATCACTCCAATACCATTTTGATAACATGAGCTCACTTTTTTTTGGGATCACCAGGTAAAATAGAGATTGGAGATCAGGATTTATTAGATGTATTTTCTTTGGATATAGGTGGTGTACTTACCTCAGTTTCTGAATTAGCAAAAATAGATGAATCAGAGACTCGAGACTTGGTTTCTTCAGTAGATGCATTTACCTTAGCTTCTGGTAATTCCGAGAAAGTAGAGCTTCGAGTCTTTGACTCATCTTGATCAATAGATATACTTACCTTAGCTTCAGGTAAATCATCTGAAGAATTATTCTGATCATCAGTGAATTCTATGTCAGTATTTTAGCAAAATGAACAATGACTGTTTGAATTTGTAAATTAGTAAATCTTGAAATAGCATCTGCACTAAAGATTTTGATATGCAAAATCTTATCTATCTCTATTTTTTTGAATAAATTATAAATCTTTCTAGCCTTTTGGGTTTGCTTTTGTTACGTTTTACACTTGGTATTTAGTTGTGCAATAATAAAATCATAAATTTGTCCTTTCATCTTTTTCTCATCAATATGATCAGATTTCATAAGATTTTTAACTTGGTTATTGAATTCTATAATATAATAATACCAACACATAATTTTATCTTGATTAACTTTAATCGCTTGCTTTTTTGCATTAGGGTTCAGTTCGAGTCTGATTCAGTTCGAGCTTGAACCAGACTCGAACCTGATAAAAAGTCCAGTTTGAAAATTTGAACCTAATTAAAAATCTGGTTCGAGTTCAGTTTGAATTTTGAACCAGACTCAAACCTAACAAAATGTTCAGTTCGAGTTCAAGTAAATGTTTGTTGATATTCTAAGTAAAGTTATAGATCGTAACATGAGCTACAAATTGATATAAGATAGTTAATATTTAGGATGAATATTTAAG